CCACGATGCAGGCCCACGGCGCACGGCCCACGGCACCCTCCGTCCCCATCACGCTGAAGTGCGCACGCTGCTCGCCTGTGCGGCCGTGAACCCTAATCTCTGTCTTTCTGAATCTGGTCTGGCGACTCGCTCAGCCGCCAGAATACGGCGGAAGGAACGATGTGGGGTGTTTGAGGCTGGGCCTCTGGGACCGCGTGCTGCCTTCTGTCCCTGCCTGCAAGCAGGACGGAGACGGCCAGCCACAAGGAGAGGCCACGTGACGCCTCTGGTGGAGGCTCCTGCGGGGCCCCTCGACGACAGCTCCTGGTGGGGCCTTCCGGAGAGTCGGGCCCCAGCCACCCTCCGACTGTAAGTGCATGAGAGACCCCGGCTCGGAACCACCCTGCTGAGCCCCGCCAGCTGCCGGCGCCATGAGACGTGACAATAAATCATGATTTTAAGGCATCACAGCTGGAGGCAGCCCCCGCCCCCCCCTCACTAGCACGCCATGCCTCTTCCGAAATCGTGAAGATGTATTAAAGACAACATAAATCAACACAAAAACACACTTTCTTGTTTGTTTGTTTGTTTGTTTTAAAAGCGCCCTCTGCAAGAAAGCCAGCAGTTAGGACAAGTGCCAGGAGTGGGCGGTGCCGGGAAAGAAGGTGGACCCCGTGATGCCGCGGGAGCAGGATAAAGGTGGCTACAGAGCTTGGGGTCCAGCAGGGCGCTGGCGCTGGGCCACGCGGCTCCCAGCTCTCCCCTCCCCGTGCAGAAATAGGACAAGGCTCTCCATCGCACTGTGTCAGCAAATTCCCCGAGAGAAGAAAGGGCACGTTACAGGGGGAATTACAGGCTGTGCCTACATCTTGGATTTGGGAATTTGCAAAGATTTCAAGCTGCGCATCATGTGCTCTGCGTATCTACAGCTTTGGGCCTGCGGGGATTTGTCTGTTTGTCACTCTCTATCCTAAACTCTCCGGCCTGAAAATTGTACACTTAAAGAGCCAGGGGCACACTGCCCCGCTTTGCCTGCTGCAGATTCACATTTTGGATGATCGCCACTTGCACTGTGCTACATACAGAGATACTGAAGCATGCAGCTTATTTCCTTCCTTTGAGGAATTTGCACAGATAGAAACTTGGGGTGTAAATACATGACGGTACAAGCATGCAGTGCCAGCCATTCAAGGCAGTGTGTCACTGATCAGTAATCATCACTGTTGAGACTGTGAAGGGTTTCAAGGATGGAGGGAGCGTGGTTGTCTACTGCACCGGTCTGAGCAGTTTCCGTGAGGAGGGCTGGAGCTCAGCCAGGAGCGATGGCCGAAGTCTGGCCGCGCAGGAAAGAAAGAGAAGGAGGCAAACAGCACCAGCCAAGGGAAGCACAGGCACGCACTAAACGCCGGAGCA